CTTTGGCCTCATCCAGAGCCCCCAGGCTGCTGGCAGAAGTTCACAATCCAAAAGCCAGCTCAGCAGCTGGGAGAGGGTTAATGCTAGGCTCCACCCCTGCTGCTGGCAGCCATCTTGGTGGCCCTTTGAACCCAGTGTCTCCCTGCTTCTATTCCAGGGATCAAAAATCAACTTGGAACAGGCACTTTGAGTTTGGAGGGCTGATTTTTACATGGGGAAAGGTGTGGGGAGCGGCGGGGAGGGGATGGGAGCCTGGATACCTGGGTTCTCTCCAGCTCTGGTGCCCAGGGGATTGAGAGCAGGGGGGTCTGGGAGCTCAGACGCCTGGGTTCCCTTCAGCTCTGGGAGGGGACTGGGAGCTGGGGGGTGACAATAGGTGGGGTTGGGAGCCCAGATGCCAGGGTTCTCTCCAGCTCCGGGAGGGGAGCGAAACTGGGGGTGAGAGTAGCGGTGTCCGGGATGGGTTTTCTCTAGTTCAGCGGAGGGGGGGTTGGCGTGAACGTTACCTGCTGTTATCGTCCCAGTGAACTCAAAGCAATGATCTTCCTCCCCAGTGCAGGGCAGCGGCGTCATGTGATCACAGTGATCGGCCCCCTCTACAAAGCAGGATGGGCAGGACCGGCCATTGGTGGTGGAGCTCACGGACGGCACTGGGGACACAAGAGGTGAATGGGGCTGGGAGCCCGGACACCTGGGTTCTCTCTCCATTCAGGGATGGCTGTGGGGTCCTGAGGCCTGGACACCTGTGTCCTCTCTGGCTCTGGCAGGACAGTGGGGTGTGGCGGGTTCCCACTGGGAGCCCGGATGCCTGGGTTCATTCCCTGCTCTGGGAGGGGAGTGCGATTTAGGGGGTGGTTAGAGCAATGGGGGGGGAGGGGGGGCAGGGAGCCCAGACACCTGGGTCCCACCCCCCGGATACTCACGCTCCACGACCCCTGTGTTGCAGCCGTCCTGGTGGCAGCAGGTGAAGTTCATCCTCATGGCCACGCCAGGCCGGAAGGTGAGGCTGAAATGGCGCTGGCTGCAGCTGCTCGGCTCCAGACAGGACCTGACGGCCACCGAGAGGGTCCGTCCCTCTCCTGGTGGGAACAAAGTATATGTGACCTGTGACCCCTGAGGCCTGCCCCCACATGCCCCCTGCAGGACTCCCCCCAGTACTCACCCAAGGTGTAGTGCCCCACTCCGCTCACACAGGCCCCCTCCCCAGGGTCGCAGGGCAGCACCGGGCCAGAGCAGGCAGTGGCAAAAGCAAAACACTCCTCACAGCGCAGGGCGGAGCCTGGGGAGGCAGGTGATAGGCCGGGTCAGAGGAGGCGTGGCTAGAGATGCCCCTCCCCTCCCGCCTCCAGTCTTGCGCCCCAGGCCTCCCTGCTTCTGTTCTGGTGTTGCGCCCTGCTTCATCGGAGCTGCTGAGGGGGTGGGGGCACAAATCCATGAGGGAGATGGGGGCTGGGGCCTGGGTTCTCTCCCCTATCTGCACCCAGAGTCTTTTTCCCTCCGCAAACGCATGCACACGCAGATACATACACAGAACCCAGGCATCTGGGGCACACACATGCACACACAGAATCCAGGAAACCCCCCCCCAACACACACACATACAACCCAGGTGTCACACACACACATGCACACACAATGCATCCGGGACACACAGACACACGCAGACACACAGAATCCAGGGTTTGGGACATTCTCTCACACACACATGTGCATGTGTGCATGTCTGGGGGATATGCGTGTGCACACGCACACATACCCACACACACACAGGCATCTGGGACACACAGACACATGGAACCCAGGTGCCCAGGACACACATGCTCACACACTCATAGAATCCAGGCTTCTGGTGGGGACACACACACAGAACGCAGGCATTCAGGACACACACACACACACACACACACATATACACTTGTGCACCCTGAATCCAGGATGTGTGCACACACACACACAAAATCTAGGTATCCAACACATGCACACAGAACCCAGGCATCCAGGACACACACACACACACACACACGCGCGCGCGCGCGCTCACTCCCTCCGGGCCCACACACTCGTCCTCCCGGTTTCCCTGCCCATCATCATCTCCAGGCCCTGGGGGATCTGGCATTGTGTCCCCCCGCCCTCCTTCATGCTGCCCACCCCCACCCTGTCTATCTTGGCTGAATTCCAGCCCTGGGGGTGACAGCCATCTGTGGCAGCCCCGGGGCATTAACCCTTCCAGGGGCGGACCTGTTTAAGCGGCGGCAGACAGAGGTGGCCATAGTGGGGGACCACAAGCCACGTGCTCCAAGCCACGTTCTTGGGGTGGGACAGCTCGGTCTAGCGCCCCCTGCTTGGACTCCCAAACGCTGGCCAGAAAAGCCCCCAGGGACCCAGGTATCCTGCATCCCACAGGACCCTAGCCCCATCCCAGAGAAGCCAGGCATCTGGGCTTCAAGCCCTATCCCAGACCCTGCCAAAGAACCTAGGCGTCCAGGCTCTAACCATCCCCAGCTGTTCCTTTCTACCCCCTTGAAAAGCCCCTTCGTGATGAGGCTTCATTGCCTCTGCCGTGCTCCCCCCTCCAGCCAATGAGAAGCCTCGGACACCTGTAGGGTTCTCCCAGAAAATTAATTAACAAGCTCCCAGATCTAATTACCAGCTCCTGGCCTGGAGCCATGGCAGGGGGGAAGCTCACCTGAAGCCAGGAGAGCAGCCAGGAGGCCTAGAGTGAGGAGGGCGCCCATGGCTGCCAGTGTTGGGAACTGTACGGAGCCGGTGGGGATTTATAGGCCGAGAGCCATGAGGCAGAAGGGAGGGGGGCGGAGGCCGGCGCCGGAGCTAATCCCTGGCGCCGAGCTTCCCGTGGGAACTTCCATCGCGTTGCGTCCCTGCCGCCGGCAGGGGGAGGGTCCCTTCCCCATCGCTCGCGCCCACGCTGTGATAGGGACGTCCTCCTTGGCATTTGGCGCCTCCTCCTCGACTTGTTTCTTGGGTGCCTGGCCCTTTAAGATGGTGGCCATGCCCACTCATGGCTCTGCCCAGCAGGGCTATATATGACAGGGCCCTGTATCCGGCTGGGCCCAGTGACACCTCTGCCCCCAGCAACCCAGACCAGTTCCCAGCCTACGGGGCACCCTGTGGAGCTGCGAGTTTGGAAATAGGTTGGGCATCATTGGTGGAGGCCAGAAGGTGAGTCATAGGCTGGCCAACAAAGTCATTGCATCACAGAGACGTTGGGCTGGAAGGGACCTTGAGAGGTCACATCTAGGCCACCCCCTAGATGTGACAAACTGTTCTATACAAACCCATAATCAAAGAGTCAGTCAGAGACGTTGGGCTAGAGGGGACCTCCAAAGGTCAAGTAGGCCAACCCCCTACGTGAGGCAAGACTCCAAACTATCCTATATAAGTCCATAATCGTAGAATTAGAGATGTTGGGCTAGAAGGGACCTCCAGAGGTCACACCTTGGCCGACCCCCTGCCAGAGGCTGGATCATCCCCATCCAAGCCATCCCATACATCTCCATAATCATACAGTCATAGAGACATTGGGCTAGATGGGGACCTCTAGAGGTCAACTAGGCCAACCCCTTACCTGAGTCAAGACCAGTCCTATCCAAACCATCCTATATATGTCCATAATCATAGAGTCATAGAGACATTGGGCTAGAAGAGACCTCCAAAGGTCACATCTAGGCCAACCCCTCCATGAGGCAGCACCACCCCTATCCAAACATGAGACCATCAGAGCTGCCATGCCCTGTGTCAGACCCTAGGTCCATCTTGCCCCATCTCCTGTGTCACATGGCAGAGTGAAACTGCATCATCCCAGCCAAGGCTTTGTCTAGCTGGGTGTTCGCCACCTCCAAGGATGGAGATGCCACCACATCTCTGGGTAGCCTGTTCCAGTGCTTTGCTACCCTCCACATGAGAAAGTTCTTCCTAATATCTAACCTCAACTTCCCCTTCTGCAGCTTGAGCCCATTGCTCCTTGTTCTGTTGTCTGCCCTCACTGAGAACAGTCCAGCTCCATCCTCTTAACAGCCACCCTGCAGGAAGTTGAAGGCTGCTCTCAAATCCCACCTCCATCTTCTCCAGGCTAAATCAGCCCAGTTCCCTCAGCTTCTCCTCATCCGTCCTGTTCCTCAGCCCCACAGCCACCTTTGTTGCCCTCCTCTGGACTCTCTCCAATCCTTTCTGTAGTGGGGGGGCCCACAACTGGACACAGGTTAGGAGCGGGAGGGGGGACAAAGTCAAGGCAAACCTCCAACAAGTACATCCGATCCCCAGGGAAATTCAGACGTGTATCAATGGTCTGTGTATAGGAGCTAACTACTGGAGGGTCATCTTATATTTGAGGCCAGCTTGCATTTGGGGGTCATCTTGTATTCTGGGATCTTCTTGAATTATAGGTCATCTTATATTCAGGATCGTCTTGTATTTGGGGGTTGTCTTGTATTCAGGGTCGTCTTGTATTGGAATTGTCTTGTTTCCAGGATCATCTTATATTCAGGGTCATCTTGCATTTGGGGGTCATCTTGTTTTCGGGGGCCGTCTTATATTCAGGGTCATCTTGTATTTGGGGTTGACCTATATTTGGGGGTCGTCTTGTATTCAAAGTAACGAAGCGTTCGGGGGCATCTTGTATTCAGAGGTTGTCTTGTATTCAGGGGTCATCTTGTATTGAGGGTCATCTCGCATACAGGGGTCATCTTGTTTTCAGGGTTGTCTTATGTTCAGAATCACCGTGTATTCAGGGTCATCTTGTATTTGGGGGTCATCTTGCATTCAGGGGATTGTCTTGTATTTGGGGGCCATCTTGTTTTTAGGATTGTTTTGATTTTTTATTTTAGGGTCATCTTATATTCAGGGTCATCTTGTATTCGAGTACATGCGGTACGACATCAACTGGATCAACCCATACCTGGCCTCCATGGGCACCCTTCTTCCCACCCCAGGGCTCTGGCAGCACCCAGGTCCCCCTGCTCCCATCAGGCCTGGGCTGGGGGGGCGGGGTCTTTGCCTATCTGTGTAACTGCAGAGGAGGTGGGGGGATTTGAACCTGCACCTTCCTGGCCTGGCTAGGGCAGGACCCTCAGCTCCCAGCTAGGTGTGTGTAGGGGGAGGGGGGCATGTCATATCCTATTGTATTGGGACTGATGTTGGCCAACGCCTGGGGGGGAGACCCCCACTGCCCCTCTTGGGAGACCCCTTGAACCTACCCTTAACCCCTGCCCCCTCCTCAACACCAGCCAGTTCCCCACCCCCTCCCCCAGCATCACCAGGGGAATGAGAGACCCATACAAGCCTATTTCCATGACCCGCCCCACATGCTGGGGGCGGGGCTTTATTCAGACAATTGGTTCCAAGGCACAGGGCACAACCGTGGATCCATGGTTGCCAGGGGGACAATGCTGGTTGCCAGGGGGACAATGCTGGTTGCCAGGAAGATGGATACTGGTTGCCAGGGGGATGAAGCTGGTTGTTAGGGGAGTAGATGCTGGTTGCCAGGGTGGTGGATGCTGGTTGCAAGGGGGGTGCAGCTGGTTGTTAGGGGAGTAGATGCTGGTTGCCAGGGTGGTGGATGCTGGTTGCAAGGGGGGTGCAGCTGGTTGTTAGGGGAGTAGATGCTGGTTGCCAGGGTGGTTACGGGTGCCGCAGCCCCGCAAGGCATAGCTGTAGTTGTAGCTACCTGGAAGGGAGACACAGGAGGGGTTAGGGGGGGCCAAGGGGACCCCAGTCCCAGGATTGGGGCCCTGGAAGACCCCTTCTACTTTCTCCCCTGCCCCCCCCCAGCAGCATATTGGCAAGCAAAGGGTTAATGTCCCCAAATCCCCCCAAAAGAGGGGATCTCCCCCCCATTCCCCAAGACAGGAGGGGGGGGTTGGGGGATGGACACCTGGGTTCTCTGGGAGGGGAGTGAGGCCTAGGGAGGATCGGTGGGGGGGTGGGGGGGAGCTGGGAGCCTGGACTCCTGGGTTCTCACCGACATGGATGGCACCAGCTACGTAGAGGCACTGGTCCTCGTGGTCCCGGCATGGGACCCTCTCCCTGGGCTTGCAGGCAGGGCCTTCAACAGCACAGCCCGGGCACCAGCGCCCGGTCAGGACCCCGGGGGCCAGCGGCACTGGAAGGGGTGGGAGGGACATGTGGGTTGTGGGGTGAGAGTGTGGGGTGGCAACAAGTACCCCAGACACCTGGGTCCTCCTCAGCTCTGCATGGGGGCGCTGAAAGCAGGGGGTGCTGGGATCCAGACACCTGGGTCTCCTGTCAGCTCCTGGATGGGAGTGGGGCTAGGGGGTGAGCAGGGGGGGTCTGGGAGCCCGAACACCTGGGGTCTGGGGGGATTCAGGGGCTGGATCCCAGATGCCTGAGTTCCCCACTGGCTCCAGAGAAGGGGGGGTCCATACATTTCACAGCGCCCCGGTTGCAGCCATCATGGGAGCAGCACACGGAGCCCCCCCGCAGGCGCATGCCGGCACCGGCGCTGAGCGTGGATGAGCGTGGGGGGCAGAGTGTCCTCGCTGTGCAGCCCTTGAAGGTGTCCACCTTCCCCGGCGTCCCTGGGTGGGCACAGACAGGAGGGACTCGGCATTGCCCTGCCCCCAAACCCCCCCACCCAGGCATCACGGAGTTAAAACCGGCGTGAGAATATATACAGTGCCTGGTGCGGCGGGATCCCGGGGGGGAGGGGGGGCGGTATCGACATCACCCAGATCCCCCTGGAACCCCCAGACCTCCCTGATCTCTGCCTGGGGGGTCTGTACAGTGCACAAAGCACCCCGATCCTGGCTTGGGGGGGTCCAGACAGCCTCCACCCGCCAATCCCAGCCTGGGGGGCCCCAATCCTGGCCCAACTCACCCCCAATGTGGGTCTCCGAGGTCAGGGTGAAGCAGGCATCCTGGAGGGGAGCGCAAGGCACCAGGGGCCCCGTGCACGTGAGGCCAGTGCCATTGCAGCGATGGCAGCTCAGGGGGGAGCCTGAGGGGGCAGCAAGGGGTGAAAGTCGGGGGCCGGGAGCCCAGAATCCTGGGTTCTCTGGGAGGGGACTAGGGACTAGGGGTGAGAGAGAAGGGGGGGCCCGGATGCCTGGATTCTCCAAGAGGAGAGTGGGGGCTTGGGGGCGAGAGCAGGGGTCTGGCTGCCCGGATGCCTGGGCCCTCTCCAGCTCTCAGGGGGCGGTGCGGGGGGGGTCAGGGCTTTGAGAGTGCCCAGACACCGGTGTTCTCCAGAAGGGGAGCAGGGCGCTTTGGGGCAGGGGTCCCCGGGAACCCGGGCACCTGGGTTCCCTCCCAGGCAGTGGGTGGAGGTCTCACCTGCACCCAGCAGGGCAGCAAGCAGCCCGAGTGCCAGTGGGGACAGCATGATGGCACTGGGGGCTCCAAGCTGCCCAGAGGCACTTATAGCCCCTGGAGCAGGGAGGTGGATCCGGGAAGCATCCGGGTGCAGGGCAGGAGCTGGTGACCCCCCCACCCCCACCCCCGCTGGAGCCCAGCCAGGTGCAGAGGTTGGCAGCCCGGACGCCTGGGTTCTCTGCCCGGTCGGGGGCGAGCGGGGAGGTGGGGGCTGGCTGGGGGCCCACGCACCTGCCAGGCTTGGCCATGTGTGCAGCTATTCAGGAGAGAACCCAGGTGTCCTGGCTGCCTGCCTGACGCACACCCCGCCCCAGAGGTGGGGGGAACCCAGGCTACTGGGATCCCAGCTCCACTCCCCTGCAAGAGCTGGAAGGAACCCAGGCGTCCGGGATCCCAGCTCCCCCTGCTCCCATCTGTTAGGCTTCCGAGCTGGACAGAACCCAGGCACGGAGCTCCCAGCCGCCGCTGCTCTCCTCCCACTCCACCCAAGAGCTGGAAGGAAGCCTTGCTCCGGGATCCTAGCTTTCCCGAGCTCCTCTGCAGGCTCCAGAGGTGGGGGGAACCCAGGCTTCCAGGATCCCTGCTCCCCGCCTCCACAGCAGGGCCAGTACCCTGGGGGGCCCCAATCCCCTAGGTTGCGCTGGGGGGTTTTGGGCTGGGAGCCCAGACACTTGGGTTCTCTCCGGAGGGGGGACAGAGCGGAGGGGTCAGAGCACGGGGACCCGCCGGTGCACCCAGAGGTGAAGCTGGGGAGGGGGCAGGAGGAGGCGTGCAGGGGCTAATGGGTTCGGAGCCCAGACACCTGGGTTCTGGGGGCGGGGGGGGGAATGAGGTCGAGGGGAGTTAGGAGCACAGATACCTGGGTACTCGGGGGAGTGAGGTCAAGGGGAGTTAGGAGCGCAGATGCCTGAGTTCTTGGAGAGGGAGGGAGGGGGGTCAAGGGGAGTTAGGAGTGCAGATGCCTGGGTAATCGGGGGGAGTGGGGTCGAGGGGAGTTAGGAGCACAAACGCCTGGGTACTCGGAGGGAGCGGAGTCGAGTGGAGTTAGGAGCGTGGACGCCTGGGTTCTCAGGGGAGTGGGGTCGAAGGGAGTTAGGAGCGTGGATGCCTGAGTTCGAGGGGAGTGAGGTCGAGGGGAGTTAGGAGTGCAGACGCCTGCGTTCTCGGGGGGAGTGGAGTCGAGAGCAGTTAGGAGTGTGGATACCTGGTTTTTCAGGGAAGGGAGTGGGGTGGAGGGGAGTTAGGAGCGCCGCCGCCTGGGTACTTGGGAGGGGAGTGAGGTCAAGGGGAGTTAGGAGCACGGACGCCTGGGTTCTCGGTGGGGGGGAGTGGGGTCGAGGGGAGGTAGGAGCCCAGACACCTGGGTACTCAGGGGGAGTGGAGTCGAGGGGAGGTAGGAGCCCAAACGCCTGGGTTCTCGGGGGGGAGTGGGGTCGAGGGGAGGTAGGAGCGCCTCTGCCTGGGTACTGTGGGGGGAAGTTAGGAGCCCGGACGCCTGGGGTCATGGGGGTGGTGGGGTTGAGGGGAGTTAGGAGAGCTGACACCTGGGTACTCGGGGAGGGGAGTGAGGTCTAGGGGAGTTAGAAGCCCGGGCGCCTGGGTACTCGGGGGGTGGGGGAGGGAGGCCTAGAGGTGAGAGCAGCAGGGGCTGGGAGCCAGGACTCCTGGGTCCCCTCCAGTTGTGGCGGGGGAGTCATTGGTGCTTGTGAACATCTGCAGGGGTTTAGGTTGTAGACGTGTTGGTCTAACGATATTGGCCGACAAGGGTCCGTCGGAGGAGTTGAATGGTTGGAGAATAGTTATTAAGCAAGCTTTCGGGTTCAAAAACCCTTGGCCGGGCGCAGGAGGCTGCAGCCGTTGGTGTGCACTCTTCCTGGATGGGATGAAAAGTGAAGAAGCCAGGGGCTGGGCTGGGCTGGGCGGGGAGTCAGTTGCCAGGCAGATTGTAATGTATCAAAAATCCAATGTCTATGTTTAGTCCCTGATCTCTAGTATCCAGCAGGTTGATGAGATGGAGCTCGTAGGCTCGTCTCTGGGAAGTGTTGTGTAAGTTTCCCTTGAGGATCAGGACTGAGAGATTGGAGAGAGAGTGGCCCTCCTGTGAGAAATGTGCCCCCACCGGTAATTGGGTGTTTCTGTCTTTGATGGATTTCCGGTGTGCGTTCATTCTGGTGCGCAGTTGTTGTCTGGTCTCTCCTACATATCTTCCATCAGGGCATGTGTACACTCAAGCTAGGACCGCAGCCGGCTGCACGATGACGTCACGGTCCCCCGGCCCCGCTCATGACGTCAGGCACGTGTGATGACGTAACGCCATGGGGCCGCTGTCAGGTCTACTCTGACGTAGCTGGGCGTCGAGGTGGCATCACGGGCAGGCGGGGAGACGAGCGCGGCCTTTAGGGAGGGGGCGGGGGAGCAGTGACATCACTTCATTCCCTAAAGACGTCACCCTGCAGTGTGCATGCGCAGTAGCTGCACCGGCTAAGCTGCATGCGCAGTGTCGAGACGGGATAAGTGGCGCCCGCGGGAAAGGCGTTGCGCATGCGCACGGACCGCTGGAGCAACTGGCGGAGATCGGTTCATGCGCACGGGCCCGGAATCGGCCGCCGCGTCTGCGCAGAGCACCACGAAGGACCCGGGCAACCATAGAGTTCCCAAGAGAGGCCCCGTAGCGGGCTTCGTTTCCGGGCTGGGCCGGAGTTTTGGTTCCGGGGCGGGAGGCGGAGGCGCCGACTGGACGGGACGATGCCGGAGGTCGCGGGGGGGCACGGGGGGGCGCCGACTGGACGGGACGATGCCGGAGATCGCGGTGCGGCACGTGGTGTCCGCCAGCAGCGCCGACCCGGTGCGGGGGGGAGAGGCCATTCTAGGGGAGCGTGGGGGTGGGAGGGACCATTTTTGCATGCTGAGGGAGTGTGGGGGAGACCATTCCAGGGGGTACTGGGTGAGGCCATTCTTGGTGGGGGAGGGAATCTGGAAGGGACCATTCAGGGGTGCTGCGGGGGGGGTGACTTGGGAGAGATCATTTGCGGGGAGCTGGAAGGGACCATTCTAGAGGGCTATTGGTGATTGCTGGGGGGCGGAGATAATTGGAAGAGACCATTCTGGGAG